GGAGCCCATGCCTCTGTACCCTGCTTGGGAGCCCAGTGACTGCTGACAGACTGCTTGGCGCAGACCAATCAGAAAACGATACACTGACTAAAGGGACTTGGGGGTGGAGAGAAGGGAAATATAAGGCTTGCCCCCTCCTGCATTAAACAAGCCTGGAGCACCTTGCCTAGTGCTTGCTTCTACCCGACTCCCAGGGTCTGTGTGTTGTGACTCCGTGCCTCTTGCCCCCCCTAATTGGCAGGGGACCTGATCCAGGTTAGGGTCTTCACAGCTGGCCTAAGGAGAACCCACAACACTACACAGCTTATTTATATGTAAGGCCATAGGTTTAAAAAAAATGTCAGGTGGCAAAAGAGTCCACCCCTTGGGGCTGGCATTAGAGAATGCCCAGAAGTGCAGCGAACAAAGGCAAAACCAAGATGGGACACACGCCTCTCCCAACACTCTGCCCACCCCCCCAGAGCAATAGGAGTGAGAACTGAGTCAAAGCTTGAGTCGGTGTCTGAAGCGACCGGCAAGTGGAAGAGCCACAGATCTGGCCGTAGCAGGGGTGGCTAAATGCTTCTGTGGACCTCCATACTGCTTTCCATAGCAGTTGCATCATTTTGCAACCCTGCTAGCAGTGCACAAAGGTTCTAATTATTAACATGATACTGTCTTTTAAAAAATCTAGTCATCCTTGTGGATGGAGGGAATGGGTAATTTTTGCAGCTCCGATAAGGGATGGGGAGTCTTGTATGCCATCTTTGGAGACGTGCCTCTTCAAGTCCTTTGCCTATTTTTTTAAATCAAGGTATGTGGCTTTTCTTGCTGGATTGTGGCTCCAAATGCATTTGGGGTATCTGTCCCTTGTTAAATGCACTGTTCTTTTCCCAACTGAGTGATCTTTGCGACCTTGCTGAAGATGTCAGTCATGTGAGAACTTGGGGGGACTCTATTCTATATAAATTTCAAGATGGGGTAGACCTATTTCTCACTTAAAATTGTCAGGAATTTTTCCCCCTTCCATATAAATGGTAGACTAATCTTGTTTATACCTATAGATCTTTGATAGAAATTGTTAGATTTTAATGCATCCTGCAACCTGTGTACATGCCTCTGCATTAAGATCTTTGATTTTTTCATTAGCACTGTGTGGGAGTTTCAAAAGCCCTTCGTGTGTTGTTTGGATCTGTTTAGATTTACACTACAAATGTAATTTGTAGATGCTGTAATTCTCATGCCCACAACCACGATGCAAAGCATCTTAGATGTCATTTGTTTCATATTTTCTTTGGGTTTGAAAGCCCATTTAAATCTTTCCATCAAGAAATGCTTTGTCTCGTTAGCTGGGTGTGGTGGCACACGCCTGTAGTCCCAGCACTTGGGAGGCAGAGGCAGGCAGATCTCTGAGTTCAAGGCCAGCCTGGTCTACATAGTGAGTTCCAGGACAGCTGGGACTACAGGGAGACCCTGCTTCAAAAAGACAAAGAAATGCTTTGTCTCAAAGCATTCTAAGAGCTTTTCATATAGTTCAGACTCAAGCTCCTTATCAGATGATGATTAATCAGTGTCTTCTCCATAGGAGTCCTTTGTTCCTCTCCCATGACGCTGAGCAGACCGGGGCCTCACTACATGCTAGATAACCTACCACTGAGCTACATACACCTGACAGTCCTCAGAAGCACGTATTGCTTTTTGTTTACAAGTTTGAGTCGGTCTCACCATGTAGCCTGTAGGCTGGCCTGAAGCTCTCCAGGTAGACTATACTGGCCTTTAACTCAAAGATCTGCTTGCTTTTGACTCCTGAGTGCTGGGACTAAAGGTGTGTGCCACTGCCCAGCAGATGCAGAGATTATAAATTTTGTCTGATTTATTTTTTCATTTAGAAACTGTTGCTGGTACTTTTGATTTTATATCAAAGAAACGTGTCATTCAAGGTCATGAAGATTATGACACTGTTTCCTTTTAAGAGTTTTAAAGGGCTAGGGATGTGGCTCGGTTGATTGAGTGCTTCCCGAGCATGCATGAGGCTCTAAATTCAATTCCTAGCACTGCACAAACCAAGCATGAAGCAATGTTAGATTCTAATCCTAGTACTCAGGTGGGGACAGGAGGATCATGAGGTAACTTGAACTCAGCCTCAGCTGCGTTCAATACTGTCTCCAGAGTTCTATGGATTCAGCTCTCACATTTAGTGTTTTTTTAATGGTATTATATTGGGGCGGGGGGGAGGGCCAAAACCGTTGGTTGAAAACACAATTCCATTAAATTTTCTTGGTACTCTTGAAAATGAATTGACTATATTGTTTAGAGGTTATTTCTGGATTGTCAGTTCTGCTCAGTCTTTGTCCTTACACCAGTACAGCACTGTCTGGGTTACAACTGTCACTGTGGATTGTGTGTATTCTTTTTTTCAAGACTGCTTCAGCTACTATGGGTCTCATTATTTCCCATATGAAATTTTGGATTTTGCTTGTCAATCTCTGCCCAAAAAGCCAATCGATTTTTTTTTTTTAAATAGGGACTGCACTGCATTTGTAGATCAATTTTGAAAGTATTGCCCACCGGAGCTTCTGTTATGGTTTCTGATTAGTCTTAAGGTCTGCTGATAGTGGCCATAAGCCAGGTCGCCACCGAGAGCCCTGACCTGTGGAAAGTTAGGCCTCGGTGTGTATCAGGTGAAACACAATGTGGCAATGAAATCAAGATTCATTGCACAGAAGCAGCTCATTATACACAGGTCCCAGGAAGCGGTCAGTGAGACTAGAGGCAAAAAGCAAGTCAACCAGAGGGGGCTGGGGTGGAAGGCACAAGGCCTGCGGGACTATGCTTTCATTAAGGCATATGAGTGTTATCTTATAGGCATTCCCCCAGCTTCACGGATAGGCCAGTTTTAAAAAGAAATAAACAACACTCCAGTTCTAACAGGAAAGACGTTCACTTCAGGCTGAATTACTTGATGTGTCCGTGGACGCCTACACACGCCTACTTTAGCTGACACCACAGCTGCACTTGCAGAAACTTCAGAGCCGACCTTGATGGGAGGTTCGTTTTTCTTCATCTTGGCTGCTCTGCATTTATTACATTCCCACATACATATGTAGCAACTGCTGCAAAAAGTCTTGTGGGCTTTCACGTCACGAATCTACAGATCTGTGTGGAAAACTGGCATCTTAATATTATGGATAACTGACTTCTTTAATGGCATTGTAAGTGGCACATCTGAAACGTTAAGTATCCGAATGTGTAGACAACGGCCGAGTTTTGCATACTGACCTCATATTCTCAAAGAACAGTTGTCTAAGCAAATGCTTTTTAATCTTCAAGAAATCGTAGAAGGCGTGCAAGCAACTGCAGATTGTTTCCAAACGGAATAAAAAGGAGCAGTCCTTTGGGCACAGCTTGTTCACACCAGTCTGCACAGACCCGTTTTCCAGCTCAGGGGACAAGGGGAAGGACATGGCCTGCCTGGCGCCCTCGGCTTGCAGGACAGGGAAGGAGGCAGTATTTCCAAGAATGCTAATTAGCACTGAGAAAGTCATGCACTGCCCATGTGGGGTGAAAAGATTTCTGATATTCAAATGCTCTTGGCCAGGTAGTGGCCAATGCCTTGCAATCTCAATATTGGAGAGACTGCAGCAGGAGGATTACTGTGAGTTTGAGGCAAGCCTGGGCTATAGAGTGAAGCAGTGCCTAAAAAAAAAAAAAAAAAGGCAAAGTAAAAACGGTCTTTAGTTGTCAAGCTTCTGAATTCTGGCCAGACTCTCATGTCCGCATCCTTTGCTTTTCACTCATTTTCACTCCAACAGAGATGAGCGTGTGACGAATCCCAACAGCTATGATGTAAATAAAGGGATCCGTTAAAAAAATTTCTGTGTGTGTCACCCGCCTGTACACCGATGTCATGCAATGCCCATGGAAGCCACAAGAGGGTGTGGGATCCCCTGGAACTGGAGTTTTGGACAGTTACCTGCCATGTGGGTGCTGGGAACCAAACCCAGGCCCTATGTGAGAGCAGCCAGTGGTCTTAACCACTGAGCATCTCTCCAGCCCCTAAAGGGATCCATTTTAAAAACTTCAAATAAAACCAATGTGAGGCACAACTACTCAGGAATATTTTGTATTTCCAAAGTATTTAGGAATATTTTAATTAGAAAAATAAAGGCAATGAGAGTATCATGTTCTGAAAGTACCCATGAATTAAGCCACACGCCCCACTCAAAAAATGAAATAAACCTTGTCAGTCACAATGCTGTTAAGCTTTTTTTACACTAAGAAATAAGACCATGCTATGCTAGAATACAAAAATCTTGAAATTCTGAGAATGTAAATAATTTATTGATTAGACACTAACTTTCAAGCATTAGGCCCCTGAAGACAGAATTAACACAGCTCATAGAGGCAAACAACCCACCAGCACCTGCACGGCTTCAAATTTCCTGGGGTTTTGCATCCTAGACAGAAGCCTCACCCCAGGCATCCGTGTGCCCCACGCTGATGAACTTGAATCCATGAGAAAGTGTGCACTCAACTTGGCAGGCAGCACTGCCGTGACTTTTGGGAACATTCTTAGACACAGGGAGAGCACTGCCTGCAGTGAATCTTGGCTGAGCAAAGACCATTCCATTATAATCTGACAAACAGGAAGCAAAACAGATGCATCTTGGCCAGTGGGTTGTGATGGGGAAAATGTCATGAAATTTTCTGTGGGATTAAGAAGTGAAATTTAACATTTTTTTGGTCTTTTTGAGACAGGGTCTCTCTGTAGCCCCAGCTGGCCCGGAGCTCACTACGTAGACCAGGCTGGCCTTGAACTCAGAGAGATCCGCCTGCCTCTGCCTCCCAAGTGCCGGGATCAAAGAGTGTGCCACCATGTCTGGCTGAACTTGAACTTTTAGTACTCATATGATTTTGTTACTAAAAAATCAGATTAAAAGAAAATGAGTTAAAGAAATGGAGTTTGGGAGGAGGTGCGGGACTAAGCTGCACTACTTTGGCTAATTCATTAAAAATGCCAATTAAACATTTTCAGTCAAATTTTATTTTTTTAAAAAAGCAAATCAACATTACAATTCAGGACTCTAAATATGCACTTGACAATGAAGCACATCTGTGTGTGGAGTGAAAAAAGTTTTCCAAAAAAACCATCAAATATATTATCTCCAAATAACCAGCTAGACCACCACTCCTGCAGGCCTTTCCTTGGGTGGACTCAGAGAACTGAAGACTTATTGCTGTGGAAACAAATCTGTAGTACAGTAGTACGAGTCTTGGGTATTGAGCATCATCAGTGGAGTCAAGTCCAAAATGTAACAAACTGGTGTGTGTGTGAGAGAGAGAGCGCGAGAGACAGACTGAGAGAGACTCTGTAAGCCAGTTGACCCAAGAGCAACAGATATTTAACTTATTCAGTTGAGACCAGGCATGGTAAATCTCCTTTTTAAGAAGGCAATTAAAAATTACAATTCCAGCAGCCCACAAACCAAAAAAAATCTTGTAGAAAGAAATTAAAACTATGTTCAAAGAGATTTTCCCCCTCCCAGCTCATTTTCAGCACCCCAAGGAAAATAAAAGCATCCATGACCATCACAGATGAAAATGAATGAATGTCACTGGAATCAATTTTCCCACTGAGGTATAAAATCTATATAGAAATCTGATACTATGCTATAACAAATTGTACTTCTCATAGTTCTGTTTTAATTTCCTTTAAACCCTGTTTAATATAGTTTTTTACTGTAAAAATGTTGTTTTCAATATTTAATTTCCTGGCTACCAGTTCTAGTCAGGAGACCTCTCCATCCTGACAGCACACTCGGCAGAAACCACTGACGTGCAGGCAGGCCGTGAAGGCGCAGCTCTGCACAGCACGACCCGCTGCTCCATCCGGCTCCTGGATGTTCTTCGCCATGCTCCTGGATGAAAGACTCTTCAGTCTTGTAAACATCAGTGTGCACAGTCCTCCACTCTGCAGTCTCGTGTCCCGGGACAGGAAGGCTAGTTCACAGCGAGTGGAAAGCTAGAAGTCTGAGTTTTAATGGCTGATAACCCTTACACCCCGCAGAGGAGGGGAGAACGTGGCAGAAAGGTGCGCTGAGGTAGCCCAGTCAGTCCTTGTTTTCTGTTTTTGTAAAATTTGGTCTCAGAATATTTCTGGAAGGGTAACATTCCGAAGAAGCCACTGCTGGGAGCGGCTTCCACTGCAGTCTCTAATGCTGGGCACCTGGCTGTCGTCTTCCGTGGCTTTATCCAGGCACTGGTTACTGTTCACATGCTGCAGGGTTAATTTCTAAAAGTGACAGGGAAAGAGAAAAAACAAACACCTTAACACAGGAGGGAAACGAACACCCCAGCAGTCATTTCTGATTATTAAATTCTCTGTAGAAAGATGGGGGGGGGGTGTGCATTTAAAGGCAATGGAGAACTAGTGTGCATTTAAAGATATTACAACCTAGTGGGAGGAAAAAGCAGTGGGATTCAGTGGGGTGCACTGGATATGCAGTAAGATGGTCTGATTATTTTTTGTTCAAGCAAAGCTGACGTTTACTGAAAGAGGACGATTTTATTATAGCTTAAAAGAAAAACCCACAAACCATCCGAAGGCAGGCTATAAATCTCAGCAGCTGCCTGGAGGAAAACAGACGGAGGCCATGTCAACTGAGTTAAGTTAGCACAGAGGTCAACCACATGGCGGACAAATGGCCATACTGGCCTAAAATTGTAAGCCCCAATTCCGGCATAAGCTCTGTAACATTGGAAAACTATGTGTATGCCTGCACAGTTCAGTTGGCTTAAAGGAAAAGAAAAATTGAGGCCAGATTAGTGGTTACTAATTTAGATCCTCCAACATACTTCCAGACAGCTGGAAGTTAAAATTTTTTTTTTCCTGTTTCTCTGTGATATGGCTGCTTAATTCTGTGATTCTAAACCTCAAGTTTTCAGAAACTCAAGTCCTGCTGTATGCTCAAAATCTAAGAATGTGGAGTGCTGAGATGTGGCACAGTCAGTCCTAAGTCTAGGTATCAAATCCAGAGGTCACACTTGTGGTGGAGAGGTGGGCACAAGGGCATGGGAATCTGGCGTAATACTGGGTTCAGAGCCCATAACTTGGGCTTCCTCAATTTTTAAGATAAAGATGACGATACAGTATGTATTCTGAGAAGATGCTGAGGTATTAGAATAATGAAGTTAAAGTACTCAGTGTCTCATTTGCAAAAGAGGTTCTAAATACATGGTTGACAAATGCAGCTATGTATCTCCTTGTTGACATTTTCAATGTTTTCATGTCAACGTTTAGGATAATTTCAAAAGGGCAGGATAAGAGTTGGCAAATCCATAGTCATAATGACCCACAATAAGGCATCTGCTGTATTCTGGACACAGTAAGGTCTTCAAGGTACTTGTGCAGGATACCGCAGAGCAGAACCCTACCAGTCCAGCAGCTTCAGAAGTCTGGACTACGGATGATCACACCTCCTGGATTCTTCTACACATGGCTCAATTTTGTGATTTTTAACGGAATTCCTTTTTTCTGGAATGTCTCATCTTCACGATGCCTTTTACATCTTTGTGTGAACTTGAAGCCCAAAAAACTGATATTCAGCTACTCTGGCTTCCAGTCACAGAGTACATGTTGTGGCCAGTGGGAACTGCCATGTGACTGCAGACCCACACTGACTTAGGTTCTCACAGGTGCCTGAGAACTGAGCTGGGGGTGGGTGTGGCTACAGCCCCAGAGCTGTCCTCGGGGAGGCCCTGTGGGCTTACTGCTGAGGACACAGTCTAGCACGGTATCTGCACACATGCTGCCGCCTGTCTTCAGTCAGCAGAGACAAAGCCGGTCTAGAACTGGGTCCTACCAACACTCAGGAGGCCCACACAGCTCCCACTGGTGCCGGCCTTCCTCACACTCATGGTCAGCGAAGTAAACCAAGCACAAAAAACTCTAACTGGATGCTTGGTCTTCTTCACGCCAATTTCTAAAAAATTTGTCTAGATTATTTATCGTTTTTGAGACGGGGTCTCACTATGTAGCCCTGGTTGGCCTTGAACTCAGAGCCAGATCTTGAGTGCTGGGATTAAAGGTATGAACTACCCTGCCTGGCTTTAAAGATCTATTTTTATTTTATGTGTGAGTTTGCCTACTATATGTGTGTACCTGGTGCAAGTGGAGGCCAGAAGAGGGAGACAGATGCCCTAGAACTGTATTTACAGATGGTTGTGAACCATCAGGTGGGTGTTGGGAATAGAACTCAGGTCCTCTGCAAGAACAGCAAGCGCTCTTAACCACTGAGCCATCTATCCAGCTTTGAGACAAGACCTGACTAGCAGCCTAGGCTGGCCTCATACTCATAATCCACCTGCCATGTCCTTGTGGAATTACAGGCATGTCTGGCTATCAAGATTCTTTAAACTCCAAACATCTAAGCAATTGCTCCAAACTGGGTACCAAACTGCTCAACATCAAGATAGAACTTCTATAATTGGTGGGGCGGGGGGTGTGGGGGTGTGGGACAGGACAGGACAGGACACAACCCAGGAGACCGAGACTCTAGTGAAGAACCTTGCTCAAGATAAGCTCTAGCAGCTGAGAGCAGGTGAAGAGCTCTGAGCTCCCAATATTGTACACTCTGTCATCAAAGGACTCAGCAGAGGACCTAGGCAGTACTATTCTCCACTCAGAAAGCCTGAGGAAGGTTCTGGACAGACACGTGACACATTCTAACTGCAACCCTTGAAGGGAAGGATAAAAGCTTCCCTTAATGCAAAATCTACCTATAATGTAGAAAACAATTTGCCCACCTCCTGGCTCTACTCTCTAGATGTAAATGGGTCTCCATCTACATTGTATTCCAAAAGGGATAGCTATTAAGCAAAGAGAGCTTAGTGTCATACTATGAATTTTATACAGTACATAATATTAACAAGACTTAAACGTGTGTGACTATGAAAATTTAACCCAAAATAGCCTGGATCAGGAATCCAGGTCTGAGATCTTGTCTGCACCATCTCCCCGCTCTGTGACCAGGATAGTGATGAGCTTCTATTCAGGGCTTCGATTTCTACTCACAAACCACTGTCCTGGATTTTATTTCCAGAGTTCCTGTGAGATCTAAAATTTCACAACCTGGGCTTCTATTGTGGATTACTGACATAAATATTATTTTCCCTGGCTGCACATCTTGCTGGATGGAGGCGGGGCAACCCTTCTGGCTCCTCCCCCCTAGAGCCCCCTCTGTAGTCGGCTCAGGCTGCTGAGCCAGCATGACGGCTTGCCCTCACCTCGCCTTTTCATAGAAGGTGATGCTCAAGTGCTCCCTAGGGACATCTCAACACTGAACTTGGAGTTTGCTTCTATAAGAAACTAGACCAAATATTACAATTTATCTCAGGGAAACAAACTACAAAGTGATCTGGAAGATTTAAGGCTTCCCACTCACTAAAGAAAACCATGCCCAGTTTATTACATTTCCAATAGAATATTCACTTTTCAAATACCTGTCGTGGAAGGCTGTCAAGAGTCAATGCCAGTCCCAATCTTTGTGTCTTGGTCATCTTGTACTATGAAGACTAAATACCAAGTGTGTTCTTTCCCAGCCTTCCTTGCAGCTGGGGGTCACTGTGGGATAAGTCTACAGCTCATGGGAAATATGCAGAGCTTGCTAGGCTAGTTCCAGGAAAAGCTCTCCTCCCTGGAAGGAGGACTGCATCTGACAGTGAAATGTGTCTTCCCCTTTCTTTTCTGACCTGAGTTGGGATTAGTTATCTTAGACATCAGAGTGCCAGTGGATTCACACCAGAGACCACTTACCTAGAGACATATTTTAAAACACAAAACACTAATGAAGTCACTATAAATAGGTTTACCATTGCCCAATTAATGCATTATTTCAATAAACTGAAAACAGGGAGGTGTATGTATGAGAGAGAGACAGGGTCTCTTACTACATAGCCCCAGTGGGCCTGAAATGTGCTCTGTAGACCAGGTGAGCCTCAAATTCACAGATCTGCCTGCCTCTGCCTCCCAAGCGCTGGGGTTGCAGGTGTGCCATCTGCCCATCAGGGAGCTCTTCCATTAAAAATCAAACCAACGTTTGGTTGTTGCAATGTCCGTGCCACTGGCACCTACTGTCTGGAAGCAGAGGCTGTACATCCATCAAAGCCAGTGTCGCACACCCAGGGACAGCTGGAATAGTGTGTATGTACGTACATGGCTGTATTAACTGTGTCAGCTAATATCAATCTCAGAAGCTGTAACATGTCAATGTGCCCAATGACATGCTGCAGCTCCTGCATGTGGGCACATGGGCCACTTACCACTGGGTCATACTCCCAAAGCTGGTTGCCTTTTAGGTGGTGGCATTTGAGCATGGTCACTGGGCCATTAAGTTTAGAGACATCCAAACAAAGGTCATCTGTTCTAATCTCTTTGTTGGCAGTGTAAGAGAAAACCTGAAAAACAGACATGCACCCATGGAAGCTTCAGTAAAGGACAGCACTCCGAATTTTAGACACCCACAGGTCTACATTCTGTGATCATGCAACAGAACACCAGGAGTCAGGCCTCAAGCAGACAGAAGCACATACAGACACGCATACGCACCGAAAGTCAACCAAGCTTTCCCCAGGCTACTCTGAAGTATCCTGGTATGGGGAGAAAGTATTTCAAGAGACATGACTTTTGCACATTATTAAAGCAATGGAGAATGAGAGCTCTCAGAAAAGCCACACCGAGTTTACAGGGAGGAAGTAGAAGCTGCCTTAGTTCTTTGTACACACTGAGTGCATAGTACCAGGCTGTATCTATTTTTCTAAAAAGGACAAAATAAATCTTGCGCTCAGCAATGTTAATTCAGTTCTCACAGGGGCCTTTAAAAATGTTGTACTAAAAAAAAAATCACTAGATTGAAGGCTCTAGCATATACTTTATTATGTTTTTCTTTAACGATATAATTTCCTGAATAATGTTATGGAATAAAAAGAGCAAAGTAAAAATCAAATTTTTTTAAAAAAATGTATCTATTTGCATTTTATATGTATTAAGTACACCCAGGTTGTGCAATGCCCACATAGGCCAGCAGAGGGCTTTGGATCCCCTGAAACTAGTTATAGTTGTTAGCTATCACTTAGTTGCTGGGACCTGAACCTGGGTCCTCTATAAAAGCAGCCAGTGCTGTTAACCACAGAACTGTCTTTCCCACTCCAGGAAAGTCAAAATTTAAAAATTATCTTTTAAAAGTTTATTAAAATACTTACCTGATTCCCTCCCATACCATGACAATTGAAAATTCCAACTTTTTCATTCTCCTTTCTAGCCATGTTGTCTAGACACTGGTTTGTCTCTACATTTCGTATCTGTGAAGCAAGGAAAACATGAGGGGTTAGAGAGTTCAACTCAACAGAAGCACACATACAAACACACTAAAAATCAACTGCGTTTTCCCTGTATTACACTGAAATGGACCTCAAATTTCCCAGAGGAAGGTTACTTGATGGTTGGATCACTGTCTGACTTTATCTAAAAGTTGTTGGCCTAAAATGATCTTGCAAGCTAAATTTCTGTGTTTAAGTAAAAAATCTCATTTTTTCTTTCACACTGTTTCTTTAGGATTTGTATTTAGCCCAATAAATTCTACTTTGACTAGTACCTTAGAGCTATTTAACAACTCCTCAAGGACAACTCCTCTGATGACCTCTGAAACTGAAGACAGGTATTTTTTTCTGGCCAAAGAGCCTGGAAGCAGTCATAGGTGGTGCAAACTTTACCTTCTCTTTTGAAATTTGTCCATCCCACAAAAGGAATTCAGATCCGTCACCAGAAGTAAGAGGAATACCTGAGCATCAGTAAGGCAGACTGCTGGGTAACATATGTAACATAAAGTAGATGCTAAGTAACTACTAGTGTTAGATCTGCCTCAAGCAGACCTGCCCCGGAGGAGTGCTGAACTGGGGCAGGCCTGGACTGCTTGCTCTGTGCTGCTCACAGTACTCACTTTCTGGATCAACTATTCGAGATTACAATGAAACATTTATTTTGGTTCTAAATCCTACATAAGCTCTAGAAGGAAGACAGACCCTCTAATGATCTGGCTGCAGAAATGAGACTACGCCCGGATGATGGAACTTGGCACTCAAGGTCTACAGGCTCGTTACTAGGGCAAGAAGGCCAGAGAGTAAACTCTGACTCCAGAAGCCAGCCAGCAGGAAGATCAGAGGCCAGTGGCTTCCCTGGCAATCCTCTACCAAGGGTTAGTCAGGCATCACTCTGATACGTCTACGCTCTGGCCCAGTTAACAGTGCTCAGGTGTTGTCCAAAACTGGGTCAGTTCAAAGAAAAACAATTCCCCATTCTCCTGTAAAAAGGAGTGTTTGCCTCTACGTTCTTCAGAGGTGTCGTGCTCACCTGAATGGGGCACTGCGCAGGAAAGGCGAGGTGAGGGGTCATTACACTGAACGGTTTTACTCACCCGCCACTATCTTGTGCTCGCCCATCCCTCTGCGTCTGTTTGCCCTCCTTCCCCAGGCCCTACTACACCGACCCCTTCCCTTCTCTCAGCCAGTGACCGGCATTCTCCGGAAGTCATTAGGACTGCGCAGACTACCTCCTCCACCTTCATCTCACCTGCTGACCTCAACCTCTTGACTTTCATCTTGTCCCCAAGGATGAACTGCCCTCACCCCGTTCTCCATCAGAACCCCTCTCTGCATGCTGGAGCTCATCTTCCACTCATTTAAATGCATGATGTCTACCACTGGGCTTTACTTTCACATATAAATTTACCATCCTAATCACTTTCAAGTAGACAAGTCAGAAGTATTAAGGACATTTACAATGTGGTGAAACATATCTCCAGAACACTTTCATCTGGTAAATCTAAACTGGTAACAGTCAGCAGGCAAACTGTCTTTTCTACTCGGTCAGCCTCTGACAGCCACTACTTTGTTTCTATGCACTCGACTACTCTACGTACCTGACAGAAGTGAAATTATACATTATCTTTTTGTCACTAGCTTGCTTCACTTAAGCAAAGTATCTTCAAAATTCATGTATGTTGTCATGTCAGAATTTCCTTCGTTTTCAAAAGTTAGTGGTGGTTTTCTGTGTCCACGGCACTTCTTGCTTGTCTCAGACACTGCACCGCACTGGTAGAAGCACTGCTCTCACTCTTCAGGACCATGCAGCGTACCTCGATGCTGAACTACTACATCATAAGCGGCTATACACTTACTTAGTTCTTTTCCAGTTCTGGGCAAGCGCTCTATCACTGAGCCACATCACTAGCCCTGTATTAATTCTTGGAGGAAGTGCTCTACTTTCCAGAGCATGTCACCATTTCATTGTCCCACCAACAGCACAAAGGTTCAGATTCCTCCATGCCCTTGCCAAAGCTTCGAACCCAGGTCCTCATACTTACAGGGCAAATGCTTCAACCACTTAGCCACATTCCCAGCCTCATCTTTTACTGCTCTGCTACTTCTTTATTCTAGACAAGCGGCCTCCTTGCCAAGGACACCACATCTCAGGAACCTCGGTCCTTGTTCTCCCTGTACTCGGATACTTTCCTCAGATCGCTGTTCACAAATTCCTGTCGGGGATGCCGCTCTTAATCACCCGACACAGAACAGCATGTGTTGTGCTCACCTGCCTTTCTCTTCTGCTTTCCCACCACCTGACTGACACACCACAGGTAGTTTTCGTAATTTTTTTTCTCCCCACTGGACAAGGAGATCAACAAGAGCAGAATTTTTGCTTCCCTTAATGCTCTCTTTCTATTATAGGTACTCAAAAATATGTTCAGTGAATGAACAAACTGAAGACACTCCAGCCTCCCACAGAGCTGGGATTACTCTCCTAAGTGTCCGAGATTGGAACATGAGGACTCGGCCTGGCTGTGGGCCTTCCACACATGCAGCCGTGACCTGCAAACGAAATGTGTCCTATCAATTTCTATCACAATTGCAGGATTTTCTCCCTCTACTCAGCTTTCCTGTTTTTTTTCTGTAAAATCCAGTTTTATAATTAAAGGGTCATGAAGATTTGCAAAGAGCTGCAGCGTCTCTACATGGTCCACTGGCTAGTGAAGGAACCCTGGGAAAAAGAGAAGTCCACAGGTGATATACTCAGCGTCTGAGCCATCTGGTCTCTGAGACAACGCTCAGCCAGAGTGCCAGAGTGCAAAAGTGGGCCCAAGGTAGTAAGGACACATAGACATAGCTACCCTAATAAATATCCATTTATAAAAGTGTTAATAGGCTGGATTTAGCTTGTAGGCAGAAGTCTGCTGATCTGGCAGAGATACCCACACGCCTGTGCTTCTCAAAGAATTTTTCCCTTGTTCTTTTTTTGCTTGAGTGTTTTGCCTGTATATAAGTGAACAATGTGCATTCAGTGCCTGTGGATGCCAGAAGAGGGTATTGGAACACCTAGAACTGGAGTTAAGGACAGTTGTTAGCAGCCACGTAGGTGCTGAAAACTGAGTCTGGGTTCTCAGGAAGAGCAGCAAGTGCTCTTAACCACTGAGTTATCTCTCCAAATCCTCTGGAACCCTTCTGTAAGTTAAATGATTACAGAGTCCAAACAAGGACGGCTATGGGCCCTATGCACACATAAGACATTTTCAAGTGCCAAGTGTCTTTGTCCCAGAAGAAAATTGAGCCAAGTTCCAAGCTAGTCAGTTTAAGAGGGGGTGGGACAAAGACTGACAGTACTGTGACAGGGAGAAGTCCTGTACCCTGGAGAAGGCATGGGATTCCAAAAGGACTATATGTACTCTTGAGAAAGGTGGGCAATGAAAGAAGAGCCAGTGAACAGAAAATACTGGTAGTCACAAACATAATGCTATTCTAAAGAGAACTTAAGACAGTGGCTTCAAACTTTCAAAGCTGTAACTGAGAATAAGAAAGGCATTTTTCCACGAAGTCCAATGAAAACAAAATTCTTTTACTATAAGCAACATATTTTCATACACTATTTCCTAGAATATTAACATGGAGGTTGTTAAAAAGCCTGTCTTGCACTAATAATGTACAGAAGGATCTTGGGGAGCTAGAAGACTGTTTGGAGAGGAAGCCTCAACTCTTCATGGCTAATAGGTTGGAGTGCTCCATTCAAATGAAGAGAAGGAAAGCTCAGCTTCTAAGTAGGTTATTATAGCCCAACACTTTTGCTTCAAAAACTACAGGGAAGGGAAAGCCCAATTACAAAGCAGTGAAAGCACTAACTTAACCATTCACTGATGCACACAGGAAACTCCATGGCAACCATGAAGACAAATATAAGAACCACCACCAATGGGCAGGAGAGACAGCTCAGCAGCACCAGCGGAAGGCACTGGCTGCTCTTGCAGAGGTCATGGGCTCAGTTCCCAGCACTCGAATGGCAGCTAACAACCATCTGTAACTCCAGTTCCAGGGGATCTGACACCCTCTTTTGGTCCCTAAGGGCACTTTATTTAGTACACTTATGTATATTCAGGTAAAACAGTCATACACGGTTGGAGAGATGGCTTGGCTGTTAAGGACACTGAATGCTCTTGCAGAGGACCCGAGTTCAAATCCTCAGAACCCACTGAGAATCTGTAACTCCAGTTCCAGGGGATCTGATACCCTCTTCTGACCTCCAAAGGCATTGTACATGGGTGTACTTACATAACATGCAGACAATACACACATACACATAAAATAAAAATAATAAAATTAAAGACTGAACTTTTTTTTAAATTTTTTAAATTATTTTTATGTAGAAGAGGGCATCAGATTCCCCTGGAACTGGAGTTAAGGATGGTTAGTAGCTGCCATGTGGGTGCTGGGAATCAAACCTGGGTCTTCTGCAAGAGCAGTCAGTGCTCTTAACCACTGAGCCATCTTGTCAGCCCCAAAGACTGAACATTTTTAATAATAGCAACAACGATTAAAAAAACAAATCAGACCATTGGTCTGAGAAGGAGCAATCTGAACCCTTAAACACAGTCTGGCAAGGAGATAGGATGGATGGCCAAATGGCATTCTATAAATGGCACAAGAAAGAGTTCATTGTGACTGTCAAGGCTGTCATAACAAAGAGCCCTAAAAAGCTAAACTCCAAAGTACAACTAAATTGCTAATTTGTATTAAGTAGTTATCAGCATTAATAAGCACATTATTTCAGGAAAAATGATGCTGAATTCTAAATCACTAAAGGTATCACCAGAAACAAACATGCTTATCAACATTTTTCCAACTTCCTGTCCAAACTGAGAAACGTAGAATTCCCAGAGGAAAATAAATAAACACCAAAGACCTAACAAGAATGATCTTCCAGCCTTCCTTGTCCGTTAGCCTCACTCTGAAATTTCTCAAGCTTTGATTTGGACTAACACCAGGGTATCAGCTTTAGGAGTACATGATTTCAAGTAAACAGCTTGTTTAAACAGCTCACCGAAGACACTGATACACTGTTAACAAGAGTTCAACCTCTTTTGGGGTAGAGCATTCTTGTTTTAATAAACTATAATGTGATAAAAATTAGGTTTCAGTTTGACTGTGGCTCAGCAGAAGAGCGTTGACTTGGCATGTGAAAGCTCCTAAGTGGACGCCCTAGTACTGGTTAAAAACAAGCAAACAAAAAACTCACCAAAATTTAGTAAGATTTCAAATCATGAGGCAGACCATCAGTTAAGAACTAGTGGTTAAATATTGAAGGTATTTTAAGTGCCTTAGCCGTTTTTTTTTTTTTTTTTTTTTTTTTTTTTTTTTTTTTTGAGACAGGGTCTCCAGCTGTCCTGGAACTCACTATGTAGACCAGGCTGGCCTTGAACTCACACAGAGATCCACCTGCCTCTGCCTCCCGAGTGCTGGGATTAAAGGCGTGCACCACCATACCTGGCAAGTTATAAGTTTTAACCTCTTATTTTTTAATAAAAATGTAAAGACATAATAACTACATAAAATATATACACACACATTTGTTTTTACCTCTCCCAATGAGAAATAGTGACGTGGAATTTGAGAATCAGGGTAAATATTCTCTAGGTACCAGGAGAAAGGTTTGCATTGTAGTTTATGTCTCAGACCAAGTCTCGATGATATATCTCCATAATCTACCTTCGTAACACCTGTTCAAAGAAAGAATTGTCTGAATTATTAGAGTTATTACGTTAAGACCTCTAGGTGTCAGTTCTTACAAAGCCACCTGAATGAGTATAATTTGTGATGCACGACTATACAATGATAGGCTGTGAACTCACCTTCCACAGTATGAACACGGTCTAAAGCAAAGAAAAGGTGCTAAGCAGGGTTTTCATATTTTTCAAGGGAAATTTAAATTTATGTGCAAATGAAACACATACCAGTATTGCACAGATACAAGCTATATGGGGTCAGAAACCTTGAATGCACGTCAAGATCTATTTGGTGCAAGTATTAAACAGTATGACTGCTTCCAGTCAGCTTCCTCTTGTAGCTCACTGACTTGCTCCCTCACCCCACCACCTTGCACTGTTCTACATCAACAAGGAAGACAGAACTATAACAATGTCAGGCAGCCTTCACAGCTGAAGAGAAAGCGCCACAAAAGCCAAAATAGCAAAGTTCTTAGAAAAGGCTCTTGAGGCATGCTGCAGGGATCTGCACTGGCCTTGTGACAGAGATGGTTTCATAAAAGCTCTGTATGAGGGCATCAAAGGCCCACCTAAGGAGAATGCACAAGATCTGCTTCTAAAACAGGAGATTTTACAAGGCTGGAGATGCATCTCAGTTGGGAAAGTGCTTGCCAGGCATACATGAAACCCTGGGTTCCACCCCAAGCACTACATAGACCATGACTGGTCATGCAGGGCTATAATCACAGCATTTGGGAAATAGAGGCAAGAGGATCTGAAGTTCAAGGTCACCCTTGGCTAAACAAGAAGTCTGAGGTCAGCCTAGGATACATACACTGTGTTTCTACACATACATAATAAACACTGTGTTTCTACACATACATAAACAGCCCCAGCTGTCCTGGAACTCACTATGTAGAGCAGGCTGGCCTTGAACTCAAAGAGATCCGCCTGCCTCTGCCTCCCAAGTGCTGGGACTACAGGCATGTGCCACCACGCCCGGCATAAATACTATTTTTATGTTGGATAAAAAAGCCAAGAAAAAGTGCTGTAAACTAGAAACATGGGTGAAAAACAAGACGAAAGCTCACAAGGATACAAGTTAAATACTGCAGCTGGGTAAAAAAAATGGAAACACAGATACACACAAATGGACAGAGGGACACACACCTAAGTCAGCAAAACTGATCAAGATATTTAGTATTACTCCACCAAGCACTTTCTATACGACGTCACTACTTTTTACAATGACTTCACTAAAGCACTGCTTCCAAACCTCCTTTCTTCTTAGAATACATTAAGATCAAGGACAAAAAAAGGTACAATGTTGGGCCAGCAGGATGGCTCAGTGAGCAAAGGCTTTGGTTATCAAGACTGACAACATGAGTTTGATCCCAAGACCCACAATGGTAGGAGAAAACCAACTCCTGAAAGTTGATTTCTGACCTCCACAGGTGTGCTCCTACGAATAAAAAAATCATATGTATGAAAAATATACTCTTGTATATGTTATGCAAAATACACTAACCTGGAGAAATTATATAGAAGAAATTCTTGAATTCATCCATCCACACTTCTGCAAGCCGTCTGTTATTTTTATTGATAATCTGACCTGTCCCTCCTGGAAAGGTGTAAGGTGTAGCTTTCCGAAACACATGACCAACATGTGAGCATGTCACAATTTCCAGAGTTCCTCCACACTGCCAAATCTGAACACAACAGGGAGACGTATCTTAATAACCAGCAAAGGTTCCTATTATTTTCTTGTGGCATTTTTTTTGTTGTTGTTGTTCAACTGAATATAAACGTAAGTGGAAAATCTGTAGTTACTTGTAAAAACCTCCCAAATACCTTCACTACTAATCCAAAAGCAACAGCACAGTGGACTGCACTGGCCACCAACAGGCTAGAACTTGGGACACAAAGGTCCCACCATGCTCGACAGCCAATACTTCCTCAGGATCAAGCATCTCTTTTTTGTTTTAATCAAATCAAAATTGGAATAGTAAAACACAGAAAGAAAAGTTACAGACTATATATAGAAAAGTGAGGTGTACAAGTGGTGTCATCCTAACATGTAGGCCATGACTCACAGAATTTCATAAGTCACACTGCTGAACTGTACCCAGCCCTTGTTAATGACACAGTAATTCATGAAATGCTCAAATTTTTTTTTGCATTGATGACACGCCTAACTAATATGGTTCATGGCTTAAAACCCTTCTCTACAACAAAACGAACCCCCCCCCCCATCATGGATGGTCAAATTCTTTTCAGTTTCTGCCTATCCAAACCTGTGCCACTGCTTATGCCTTAAACAGGACCTACAAATCAAAACCAGGCCTGCCACAAGTTCCTCCAGACAACAGCGATAACACATTTTGTTGTATTTGTTGGAACAATAAACATATGGAACAAAAGAAAGGCTATGAAGTTCGGACTTACAGCCTCAACTCAATACAACCTTTCAAAATATTCTTCTACCATAAAATTTGCATATTTGCAATTAAAACATCACAGTTTGAAAAAATTTAGCTTCGTTTAATACTTCAGGTTTCCCAGGCTCACAGTGTTAGAGCTGGATAGATGTTCCTAGTAAGCAAAGGTTCTCTGGGAGCGACTGAGCTTCCTGGCTCAGATTACAGCACAGTTTGCTTTTACTCTTATCAGAAGTTGATTATTTAGCAGCATACAATATCATCTAAATATGCTAATATTAGTGAATATGAAGTTTGTTTAGTTTTTTTTGGTCTTTTTGAGACAGGGTCTCCCTATAGCTCCAGCTAGCCTGGAGCTCACTATGTAGACCAGGATGGCCTGGAACTCACAGAGATCCACATGCCTCTGCCTCCTGAGTGCTGGGATTAAAGGTGTGTGCTACCATGCCCAGTGAAAAGTTTTTATATAAGGTTAAACTAGGCCGAATTAACTTAGTCATTTCAGAACTGTCTTGCCTTTATCTTCCTTTTTTGGTGTGTCTGTGTGTATAGGTGTGTATGTTTAGAGTCAGAGGGTGATGTGTGGCATCTTCCCAAACTGCTGTCTACCTTATTTTTTGAGATAGGTCTCACTGAAACTGGAGTTGGCTGATTCCGTAAGGCCCATGGATCCTCCCATCTGTGCCTTCACAGCACTGGGATTAGAAGCCTAAACTGCTACACTCAGCTTTTTTTTTTTTTTAAGTTTTTTACATTTAATTTATCTGGTGTGTGCGCATGTGTGTGCATATGTCAGAGGACAACTTGTGGGAGCTGGTTCTCTCTTTCTACTCTATGGGTCCTGGGGATTGAACTCAGGCTTGGCAGGCTTAGCAGCAAGTGCTTTTACCCACTGAGCTATCTCCCCAGGCCTGTGCCCAGGTTTTTTAGATGGACGCTGGGAATCAAACTCAGGTCTTCATGTTTGTGGCAAGTACTTTACCAACTGAACCATCTCCCCAGCCCTGTTTCCTCTTTTTAATTGAAAAATAAAGCTGATAAAATAACCAGATTTCATATGAGAACAGTTTTCAATTACACAGGCCACACGTGACAATGTGAGACGACGCTCTGAAGATGCTCAAGCAACGTCTTCAAACCACACATCATTTTGTTTAGCTGCTGGAGCCTAAATTACTTCCTTAAAAATAACAGCAATTGAGAAGTAAAGAATTATACATGTTTTATAGCTAGACTCTTAAAGATAACCAGATTATTTGCTGATACAGTTTAAAACAAAGCTTCCATAGTATTATCAAACTTCTTACAGGTAGAAGGCTCAAGAGTCAGATTAAATTTGTATTAAATTCAATTTTTTAATATACACAACATGAATAATGTATACTTGAGGTTAAGTAAAAAGTTTTTTCAAAGGGAACTTACCCTAAAGGACATTTCTAGGTTTTCTCCTCCCCAAATATCCATTCCAGCATCATATGTTCCGATTTCCTGAAAGTAGTCTCTATCTATGGAAAAGAGGCCTCCTGCCATTGTAGGTGTTCTGAAATCCAATCACAATGTTGTGCCATTAATCTTAATCATTTAAAGTTTATTATCAGTTTTTGTTTTTAAAAGTACTGTCTACAACTATTCATAAGTACAATGTTTATTGTAAGGAACATTCTGTAGGCCCACAGGCTTTCTGTGTCAGACATGGTCTGCGTGCACCCTGGTCACACTGAGTGCTGGATGCACCGCCACAGCTTCTGCCAAGGTGTCACTGTCCAAACCCTAAGGAAGCTTCCTGCCTTTCACACCTTTTTTGGTTCTTGACCTCATGATCTTTTCCATCTGACCAGGTATTCAACTCCAAAGTTCCTAACCATAAAGAGAGGTGACTATTTTTAATTAATTAAGACTCAGGTTAGGGTTAAAATGTCAAGCTCTAAAAGGTGGCAAATACCACAAAGATGGAAGGTTCAAATGGGATGGAAACAAAGAGGTCTCTCCTAGGCATACAGAAGGAAGGGAGATGAGGTGCAGACCAACACCAACACCCTGCTTCTAAAGGGATTATCATCCTGACCAAGTGCGGTAAGCTTTATTAGAAGAGGAGCCCAGGTAAGAAGGGGTGGGTGGAGAAGGAAGTGGGTAGAATTCAGCAGAGAAAAGATAACAGAAGATGTGAAGGAGTGGGCAGCCAGTTATCCACTGACCTCCAGGAAGGATGAGCATGGAGAAAGAAACAGACTCCACCCAGGAGAAAACCAAGTTCTGGGATCCAAGGATACCATGAAGATCAAGATCATATGTTCAGAAGAACTGGTCATTGACATACGTTCCAGAGCCCCCTAGGGCAGCACCATTTGCCTTTCCAGTGAAAGCTATAGTTTCCAAAGGTTTCAAATGTTTAAAAGTTCTTGATTTAATGAACTGACAGTTCCTCTGGTAAGAACTCAGGCTGGCTTGAGGGGAAAAAATGTAATGAATAATAATAAAAAAAACCTCTTCAACTTTGCCAATTTGGATTTGAATTCATGATAAAGCAGACCAGAGATGCCCAGAACAGGTGGAAGTCGGTTCTGAAAGAACACACAGAATGTAATTACTACAGAAGCCGCAGGTGGATGCGACTGGGCTAGATCGAAGATGGGCTACGTAGCTCAGAGTCTTGATTTTACATCCTGACTAGCATGAAGATTTTTATACCTTCCTTAAAAAAAAGGCCCATGTGTGATCAAATGCAGAACAAAAGAAAATAAAAAATGCACTACTGGAACTCTGTTAATACTAGTTATTTTTACATGTGAAACAAGCCTCTCTAACCTTAACAGTTAGTAGTTAACCATGACCCAGATGGTATACATCATGAAAAGGATACAGTACTTAGGTAATATTTTAACTTTTTAGGTAATATTTGACACAATTAATTGAGGGGTAATCTGACTTAAGTACAGATCAGACTTGCATACTTGCAAAATGTTCCTAAGGAAAGCACGACATATGCGTGATGTCATCATTTCTCGTGTACTATTGGTTTACAGAATAAAAAAAAAAAATCTAACCTTATTAATTGGAGGATAATCCTTTAAAATATCTATATATGTGAATTATGGCTCTTAACTACATGTAAGGTATGTAATTGCTTTGTACTTCTCAAAATATACTTAGAATCCTATTAATGTGATTCCCAAAGCATCTCAACTTTTTGCCAATACACGATAGGGAAATGTTTGACAAATTACCTGACGGGAAGAGTCCGGTCACCTTTCCTTCTGTCCATTTCTCTTTGGGGAACAGGATACCAACGAAAATTGAGCTTCCAGTTGAAACCACCGTAGGTCATATCAGAGCCTGCCATGTACTCAAAAGTATCATCACTGATCACATCGATGATAGGACACACCACTGTCCTCCTGACATCATAAAAGCAAAGTTTTAATCTTTCAAAATGTTCCTACTTAACATCTATGACAACTGTACAGTGTTTTTAAAATAAAAATATATTCTATGATGTCTTTGACAGTGGTAAATTTTTTCTGCTGAATACATGCCAGTAAGCACCCTAATCCCTCTCTGTCTGAGGACCGTCTGCCCCTTTTCCATTTACTCCTTTAAACACTTTTTACTATTTGCAACATGGACAATACTGTAAAATATTTTCCACATAACTTTAGTGACTGCACAGTTAATCTTCATTTTTTGCATTTTCATTTTATTTTGTTTTTGAGACAGGGTCTCATTATGCAGGCTTGGCTGGCCTGTAACTCACTATGTAGACCAGGTTGGCCATGAACTCACACAGATTCACCTGCTTCTGCTGGGATTAAAGGGACGTACCATTACACCTGGCTTATACTTAATTAAGATAATAATTTCCTTTATAAAATAACTACTCTTGGGCTGGAGAGCTGGCATGGTCGTTAAAGGCTCAGGCTCACAACCATAAAATAACTACTCTTGACCATTTTTGTTCTTTAGGGTTTTTTTCCTAGTGAGAAATCGAGAATATTAATGCATAGAATCCTTTGCTTTTATTAAACTCACGGTACCAAAAGTCCTAAATGAAAGGCTATGTTCATTCCTGGTTTCTAGTAGTATTACGTATGTAAGTATATCACATTTCTCCCTGTAGCTTTCCCACAATGATATCAACTTTGGAAATTATTTGCTCACATTTAATTAGTTCAATAACATTAAATAATTAAATCTCAGGATTCTTTAAATTTATATTTTCTACTCACTAAAAGGGAATTTTTTCCTTCCAGGTCTGTATTTCTCCATACAGACTAGCTAATCATATATTTAAGAATTTTTCAGTTGCCACTTTGATTTTGAAAAATAAATAATAAAAATTTTAAAAATTGAAAGAGTCACAAATAACAGCCCTTTTGAAGAAAAGAAGCCCAAAATACAGCCTTTGGTAGGCACAGTTTATAGGACGAGACATCCCGTCCTTTCTATTGTTAAGAAATCTTTCCTTCCTCCAAGATTAATGAAGAAGAAATTCTTTAAAAAAGAAGTATGTTTTTGCTCTACACATTCAAGTCTTGAATCTCCAAGGAATCATGTGCAATGTGGCACGCCCTACGAACCCAGCTAGATGTATGTTCCTTACAGGGAACCGACGTGGCACGCCCTACGAACCCAGCTGGATGATGTTCCTTACGGGGAGCCGACGCGGCACAAGCTGGTGGTGCTCTTCTGCCTTCAGCTAATCTGTGTCCACCTAGGTCTGTTGAAACCAGGTGCGGATCTTGAGATGCTGCCCTCTCAACAGTCTATGGTGACATCAACTATCACTAGTAGTAAGTATGGTTTTAATAAATCCTGACTGGTATCAGGGCTGATGTCACTCGTAATAAATAGTTTAATAAATCCTGACTGCTATCAAGGGCGGCTCCCCTGGCAGTCACTCCTCTGTAGTAGCATCTCAAGCACTTTGGTTCTTTCTGAACTACGTACTAGATGAATGTCAGATCAGTCTGGCTAGTTCCTTCTTAGAAAACAGAACAACAATAAAAAACTCCAGACTTTTCTGTCCATGAACACCACCCTTCTCTCCATGTGGACTACTTTTCAGTGAGCTTCGAGATTCACATGTCATGTGCACCTTGGTAAATGTCTTACTGAGTACAGACTGCGACTCCCCTTGTTATAAACGATGTCTTTATCAAGGTTTTACTTCTCTTGCTCGTGTAGTGAAAGAAGTTTACTGCCGAGATGTCACGTTGTCTCATCAATTAGTCTCTTCACAGATAAGCATGTGTCGTCTCAGACTGAAAACACTTGTTTCTTTTCCTTTGTAAGAACTACTTCATTTATCTCCTATATTACTGCAAAACCTGAGATTTCTAATTATACAAACAGTGGTGAGTCAAGGGGTGCGGTTTGCGGGGAATCACACCCAGGGCTTCATGTGCGCTCTACCATCGAGCTAAACCCCTGAGCTCTCTTATCTTGCTCTGTATCTCATTTCAAAATGTTTTCACAGTTACTTTTAATTAGGTTTGCTTGTTAAGGATTTTTAAAAACACTATTTCTTGGATTAGCAAAGTTATTTTCTATAATGGTTTACTAAGTATTTTCCGAGAACAAATGGGTGTTAAATTTTAGTGAAAATTTTATCTATGGAACTGATCACCAGTTTCTAATATGTTTATAAACACTTTTTTTTTTTTTTTTTGGTCTTTTTGAGACAGGGTCTCCCTGTAGCCCCAGCTGTCCTGGAACTCACTATGTAGACCAGGCTGGCCTTGAACTCACAGAGATCCACCTGCCTCTGCCTCCCTCCCGAGTGCTGGGATTAAAGGTATGCGCCACCACGCCCAGCTATAAACAGTCTTTTAAAAAATATTTTATTTATTTTTTATTTTATGTGTATGAGTGTATTGCCTGCATGTGTGTAACTGCACCTGTGTTGTGCAATGCCTGCAGAGGTCACAAAAGGGCATCGGATCCCCCGGAACTGGAGTTACAGATGGTTGTTAGCTGCCATGTGGGTGCTGGGAATCGACTTGGGTCCTCTGTAAGAGCAGCCAGTGCTCTTAACTACTGAGCCACCTCTCCAGCTCCAGAATCATACCCTTTAAAATAGGTTAATGGGTTATATTTCATGAATAGGTTTTATAATTGGAAGTTAAATTAATTGGTCTTAATATGTTTTATATATTTGTGTGTGTTTATAGTTGGATTTGTACTAGCTTGGGTAACAATTTTTCTCATAGTTCCTTTTTGGGGCCAGCAGGATGGCTCAGTGGCTAAAAGTGGCTGTGCCTGATGCCAAGTATAATGACCTGAGTTTGATTTCCAGGACCCACATGGTGGAAGGGGAAAACCAAACTCCTACAAATTGTCTTTTGATCTCCTGTAGACACACACACACACACACACACACACATACACACACACACACACACAGAAAGAGAGAGAGAGACAGAGAGAGAGAGAGACAGAGACAGAGAAAAAACTTTAAATCATTGATTTTCTTCTTTTATATTAAAATTATTCAAGCCTCATAAAATAGTTCAGTTGTTTCCTAGTTTTTTTATACTCTGCTTAAACGTCTTTAGGAGAGCTGCTTCTCTTCCACACCAAGGCTGCAGCAGCAGGGCTCTCTCTGGGGTGGTGTCTCTATTTCTCATTCTCACTGGGTGCAGAGGTCAATGCTTTGGCTTTATACAGGTGTTTGCCATTAGGACTAATTTAGAATCTTAGAAAACCCTACTTCCGGTAGGGCTTAGGCCTTGCTCCAGCCACTCTTTACTTATCAAGGGAGAAACCTGGTGACCCCAGAGTTCAGCACAGACACTACAAATCTAGCTGGCATCAATGAATGGACTGCTCATTAGCTCTCAACTTACTTTTGTGCCAACTACTCAATGGTACACTTAAAATTTTATTTATCCAGCTTTTAACTGCATTCATTGGAAACTATTCAGGATAATAATCTAGTACATAGCCCAAACTAAGTTATTTTGATGGTTATTTTAGTCAATACCTTCCTATACTATTACCATCTCTCACTGCCTTCTCTGTATAAGTGCAGGATCATGTTCTTAAAGGCTATGTGCTATTTTTATGCAAGCAAATATTTCCTAAACCAGTCACCTACTGTTTATAGTAAATTATTTACAGAGATAGTCCATTTTTAAATTGAAGAACAATTGGATGTTCCCCTTGGGGCAATGGTGGGTTTTGTTATGTATCCCTGAAAACAGACAGATGTAGGGCCGTCATTTGCTAACAGAATAAATGCAGTGGTCTTAGCTCCCTCCACTTGGTTAATAAAACTTTATAAAATATAAATTTTTGTTTGTTTAGAGACAAAGTCTCCCTGTAGCCCCAGCTGGCCTGGAACTGGCTATACAGACCAGGCTGGCTTCCATCTCACCGAGATCCACCTGCCTTTGCCTCCCAAGTGCCAGGGTTAAAGGCCTACAATACTGTGCCTGGCTCAAAACCAAATCTTAAAGTTGACATAGCTTCAGGGTCAAACTGCCACATTAAACAGAAATCCAACTAATACAGGTCTAGCTGACTGAAGTTGCTTCCCTCCTGATATAAGAACCAAGAAACAGACAATAGGAATTCTTTGAAAACTGTTCAACATGAAAGGCAACAACCATAGGAGGGCACCTCAGTCACGCTCGTCCTAGATTACACAGGACTGCAGCACTACTCCACACACAATGGACGTCAAGACACAGGGTGCTGCTCTGCAGCCCATGTGCTGCTTGCTGTGCTACACACTAAGGGCTAGAGTCCCAGTGATGATGTCGGCAAAAGATGAGACAATCTGCCTGGCCCAATGTCGGCCTCTGACAGCAGGGACAAGTGACAAGTTTTATCCTGCCTTCCCCGAGTTCACCATCCATCTGTTCTGCTGCTGTCTGGTCAACAGAACACTGAGTAGACATTCCAATAGGCTTCCTAACCCGTCCCCATTAAGACGGCTTGTGAGCCGGTTAACTGCTAGACTTTAAGGCTGTGGTCATCTTTGTATTTCATTTGGAGCACTCTTCAGAGCATTTTATCATTTTTTAAAGATTTCTTTTTAAATTTTACTCTGTCTGTGTGTGTGTATGTGTGTGTGGTGTGTGTGTATGTATCACACGTATCACATGTGTGGCTGGTACCAGAGGAGGTCAGAAGAGGGTGTTGGATTCTCTGGAACTGTAGTTATAGGCAGTTGTGACCTGCCATGTGGATGCTGAGAACTAAACCTGGGTCCTATGCAAAAGCAGCAAGCGCTCTTAACCACTGAGTCATCTCTTCCTAACCCTCCTTCAGGACATTTTAAAGGCAACATGAGAGGACAGTGTTTCTGTATTTATTTAAAAACAGAATGTTTCAACACCACACAGTTTAGAACAAAAGTAATGAGAGCAAATTCACAAATTCCAGAAATTACCTGTCATGTTTGATCCTGGCTAAGAGAGGCTCCAGCCACCCTGCTGTGCACTCACAGTGGGCGTCTAGGAAGGTGATCACTTGGCCTTTAGACACAGCAGCTCCTTTTAATCTAGCTCTGATCAACCCAGATCGTTGTTCCATTCGAATTACGTGAACTGGCACTTTGAGTTTTTTCACATAACTCTCTAGAGGTCTTTTCAAAAAGTCTGAAAATTTGACAAAACCAGACAATGACATGAAAAAAAGCATAAAGTGGCATTCCCAGATGTACAGCAATTGTGATCTGCAATGTTCCTTCTTCAGCACATATTGATGGTGCTCTCCTAGCAAGGCTGCCTCACTGACCATTCCCTACAGGAAGCCTTCCAGTCTCATGAAGTAGACCTCACCGCTGTCTTGCCAGGTGGAACACCAGGACATGGCCACTGCCTCTGTCTAGCAGGTGTTGTGTTTCTCCTCCTGATCATGCTGAGGGGTCAGCGACAGAAGCAAGAGACCGCAGCAAGGTGGCTGGTACATGCCTGTAATTCCAACACCTGGAGGCGGAAGCAGGATGACTGGGCATTTGAGGCCAGCCTACAGTATACAGGAGTGCCAGGCCTGACAGTGAGATACTGTCTCGAAAAACGAAACAATAAAACAAGCAATAAAGAAGCAGTTCAAGAACATCCCATTTACATGTCAAGAGGGAAGAAACAGACTATGTCACAGCTGTTATGGTTCTTCCAAGGCAGAGACAAAGTATTTTAATGATCACCGTAGTCTGCAACTATATATAGATTTATCAGGATGGAAAAATGAGGTTTGTATCAGAAGAGAAATGCTGGACAGGAACAGAAAGGCCAAAGAAAGATCCTTGTCAGACAAGTGGGGATCATAAACTATCAGTGGTGGTGTGACCGCGTGTCTTTCCAACCAGTTCCTATATAGCAGGTATAAGGATAATCTGCCCAGGGAAGGAAAAATTTGGACATGGACTTGGGAAATTTACAGAAATTGGGGCTCGTGATTAAGGGGCTCCTTCAGTACTGAAATCAGGGATCCAAAGGTTCCCATAAGATGGGCATGAAGACAGAATGATCCTTACTGTTTGATAAAATCAGAATGAGACAATAATCAAAAACATGCAAACTGACAAAAGAGTTCTGTATCAGATTATTAATGTCTTTCTTTCTGCTAACTATTTCCCATTATTTCGGTTAAAAAGAGTATTTAAAAAGTATAACTGATTTTATGAACTAACTCTTAAGGTCAGAAAAATATAATGAGTGTGAATAAAAAGATGGGAATAATGCCAATTCCAGAAAAACATCTCTGCAGTAGAAGTTAGCATTTTTGTGACTATATTTAGCATCATGTTAAACTTGTTACATATTTTTCTCATTTAGTCCTCAGAACAACCCTGTAAGGTTATGTATACTTTAGAAATGAACACCTAAGGCTCAGAAAGTTACATGAATTTGATCAAGGTCACTGAGTTTGATAAAAGTTAGAGCTAAGGTTCAAGCCTGACCTGCCTAACTTCAGAGCCCAACCTTTTACTCTCTGAAGAACATTCTAGGAGAACTTGTCAGGCACAGTGTCAGACACCTGTAACCTGTAACTGCATCAGAAACAATGTCTTCCCCCCTGCCACAAAGTTCTTCCAAAAATATTAGTTTAAAATAATTTTTAAAAACCAAAGTAATCTAATCCCCAAATCCTATGTCTGAAAGCTATTTGTACTCTGCCTTGCCTATGAACAAATTAAAAAAAAACAAAACAAAAATGCAGAGGGCTTTCAGCTGGGTGGGCGTTTGCAGACAGTCAAGGCCCATTTTATAAGAATCAAGTTCTAGGAAGTTAAGAGCTTATGATTAGAAAAACCTCCTCCTTCTCAAAGTGCTGCCCTATAAGTGGATGGACACTAAGTATCACTGTCACCCAGTGTGAAGCTTCCAGAGAGTCCGTCACTGCTAGCACTGCTGAAGTTTGTCTGACTGGCACACACATCATATTTTCAGCTGCCTTAATTGTTTCTAATCTCTGGCTTCAAAGGTTTGGGCGGAAAGGTAGATTTGCCTCATTTTGTGTTCTCATCAGTAATATACTTGTGAAATTTATTATGATGCCACAGCTCTTATTTTTCAGTGAGTGCTATAAGATTTAATTCAATACTTAGAATTCCCATTCCTCACAAGATGAGGAATTAAGCCTCATAAAAGCTGTGAACAAAGAGCAGGAGTACGGGGAGGGGGTGGCAGGGAACAGCTCAAGATATGACTAGGAGCACCAGACAGGGCCAGGTCTTTGAGACCTTAATCAGAGAACTGGAATCATCAAGTTTGAGTGTGTAAATATTCAGTCTATGTGCACTGTGGGGAACAGATGGGAGAGAGTGCGAGCTAGTGCAGGGAGACAGGACTGGTTGGTTTATTTTAGAGACCAGGTGATAAATGTGTCTCAGGAATAGGAAAAAGCAGACTTACAGTGTTACATAAAAACCCTTGATCTGATTCCTGAGCTCCACAATTACCATCTAAACAATGATATCAAAGAAAATTACATTAGATAATTCTCAGTCTGGATGGCAGCCTGCACACAATTTTTAACTGTAGAATGTCCTCTTCTAGGACAAGAGGATAAAGGAGAACCACAGCACTGATCAGGGTTCCCACCTCGTGACTAGGAGCCTCAGACACAGCATCAAAGCAGTTGTTTACCCACACTAGTCTTCCCACAGGCTTATTCACAGTGGGGCACTAAGTAAGGCCTGCATGAGAACAGGTAAGAGAACTACTGTGTGTGCATTTATTTTTTCACTTTAAAGTTGTGGCAACATGTATATTTCTGACATGACCACATTCTACAAAAACCTCCTACTCTATACGTACTCACAGAGTAAGAAAAACCCAAGGAGAAAACAGAAAACAATCCATTTTACCTGTGAAAAATCTCTCCCCTTAAGGAATATTTACTGTAGCAAATATCATCACATAAGTAAATCAAGCACAAGTCACCTGCAAGACAGATGTTTGTTCAATCATATGCTGCATAATGACATTTCAGCCCACGGCAGAGAGGGTAGATGACAATGGTCCCTAAGCCTAGTGACAGCAAAGCCATCTTGGTTTGTGTAAGTGCTGGCTGTGCTTGTACAGTGACAAAAGCTACCTCCTCGTGACGCATCTCCCAGAATCACTGCTACCATTAAGCAATAGATCGTGACACATACTAGTCCTTAAATTAACCCAGGTTAATATTCTAAAAGAATTGGCTCCTAGCAAAAAAATTAGAAAATAAAGTTTCTATCTACTGTCAATAACTGTTCTTTTTTTTTGACATTTAAAAAAAACTTTCATTAAGGGGCTGGAGAAACAAGTCAGCGGTTAAGAGCACTAGCTGCTCTTGCAGAAGACCAGAGTTCAGTTCTCAGTACCCACATGGCAGTTCACAATCCTCTGTAATTGCAGTGCCAAGGGATCTGATGTCCTCATCTGTCCTCCACGGGCACTAGACATGCACACTGCACTTACATACATGTAGGAAAACATACTCATAAACTAAAACTAAATGTTTCTGATGTGAGCGTGTGAGGGCAGATGTGTGAATGCCACAGCAAGTGTGTGGCAGCCAGAGCACATCTTTGGGGAGCCAGTCTTCTCTTTCTACTTTGCCTGCTGAGCCATTACACCTCACCATCCAGTTATTCTAAGTCTGGCACTAATACCAGCTCTCATTCGCCTGGACACTGAGCATGATTATACACTCTACTTTTTATTTATTTTTGTTTTTTAGTCTTTTTGAGCTAGGGTTTCCCCATATCCCCGGCCGGCCTCAATCTCAGAGAGATCCTCCTGCCTCTGTCTCCTGAGTGCTGGGACTAAAGGCATGCACCAGTATGCCTGGCTAGACTCTACTATTTAAATGTTGTCTGTGATTTTGAATTATTTCTTTGACTAGATTAAGGAGTAAACAAGGGCACTTGAAAACTATATCTTAGTCATTTGTACTTGTACAAACTAGCAAAACAATAAAATTTAAAGTATTATTAACACATTATTCCCAATAATGTATATGACTAAATATAATTACTCTTAAATATACATGGTGTGGGCACAATAAGGAGAGGGTAAGATATCTGACTGCATCATCTCAGTAGATACCATGAAAGAACAGGCTGATGACTAACTATAGAGGAAAAAATGAAGTTTAAAACTCATTTAGGAGGAAAGAGCAGCAAGAAGCTATTTTCTGTAGTTCCCGCCAAACCTTTCTCACGTGAACATGGGAATATTAGAGAAATACACACCAACGAGTCCCAAACAGATGTGTTAGGGGCAAAAAATAAAAGATGGACTAATAAGTAAAAGCCATTTCTACAGTATTCTGTAATGTGAAATTGCTAAGCAAGATTCAGAGTAAATAATGGCGCTACAAGTGATCTTATTAGTTAGCACACCTTTTCCAAGAAGAGTGTTTTAGAAAAGAGCAACGTTGGGAGATTCGAAATCAGAGGTGAAAATTCTGAGATTTTTTTTCAGAAGGATATTTGGACAAGTCAAGGCAGAGACTTGTGCGATTAGAGTCAGATTACACACCACATTTTCATCCTGCTTAGTCCTTTTATGCACCTAGCTATAGGCCATTTTTGAAATTTAGAAAGGAGAGAAACAGGGAGGCCTCAGAAGAAACCAAACACTGAGGCTGCTCCAGCTCAAATGCCATCTCACTGTCAAAGGCACAGAACTAAAGTGCTCCGTTCATGGACTTAGAGAGGATCTGGGTTTCCCAACTCTGAATTGACATTTTCCACAGAAAAAAACCGTAACAAAATTACATGGTTTCTTTCCTTTTCTGCATACACATTTCAAAGCATTATTGCTTTTTCAAGTAAGATTAAGACATGAGAAATTAAATACTGAAGCAATACTTTTAAGTTTCACAATGGTATAGTTTTCATATACGTGAATGAGTTCAAATGCTGTATTTTTTTTAAGATTTTATAATTTTATTACTTTGGATTTTTAACATTTGTACATAATGTCTGATAACTCAATTCTGTCTAATAGTGAACCAGAAACCACTCAAGTGGCTGAGCCTGTTCTCTCAGGCCTTGTAGGATACATTGTAAGTTTTCACACAACTATTAGGTCAAAAATTCTAGCAATGGCTTTTAAACCATTAGAGACCAAATGTATTGTGTTACTGGCATTGAAACTTAAATTTTACCTCTCTCACTGGCATCATCTACAAGAACAATTTCTTCTATCATGTGTCTTGGTGAGCGATTAATGACACTATGGACAGTCCGCAGAAGTGTGCTCCAAGCCTCATTGTGGAAGACAATCACCACACTTGTTGTAGGAAGGTTATCTGGATACACCTTTGTTTTACACCTAGAGAGACAAAGCAAATACTTTTATAAAAGGGACTGTTAAGACAGCATGCTCAATCAATCTGGACTAAAAAAGTCAGATGAATAGTAGAAAGTCTGTGCTAAAGGTGAGATTCTTGGAAGTTTTCTATTTAGTTTCGATGTTTCATGTATAATAAGTAACATCTATTTAAAGTAATACATTTATTATTTGCTTGTTTGAGACAGGGTCTCCCTGTAGCCCCTAAAACTTGATATGTAAATCAGACTGGCCTCAATCTCACAGAGATCAGCCTGCCTCTGCCTCTCTTCTGGGATTAAAGGTATACGGCACCATGCCAAGCTCTAAACTCATATATTAATAATTTTATGTGTATGACTGTATTGCCTGCATGTATGTACCTGTGTCGTGCAAAGCTCAGAGGTCAGAAGAGGATATAGGATTCCCCTGGAACTGGAGTTAGGGATAGTTGTTAGCCGCCATGTGGGTGCTGGGAATTGAACCTGGGTCTTCTGCAAGAAGAGCCAGTGCTCTTAACTGCTGAGCCATATCTCCAGCTCCTAATTCAACATTCTTAATACTTTAGTTCTTGTAGATATACGTGTGCACGCACACACATATACATATGTGAGCATGTGTATGGAGGCCAGAGGTCAGTTTTGGCTACTGTTCTGAGGTGCCATCCACTTTGATATATATATATTTATTTTTATTTTATGTGTATGCATGTACTGCCTGCATGTAGCTAAGTGTACCCGTGCTGTGCAATGCCCGCCGAGGACAGAAGAGGCTGTCAGATTCCCTGGAACTGGAGTTATAGTTATATCTCCAGTCCCTTGGGACTGGAGTTACGGACAGTTGTTAGCTGCCATATGGGTGCTGGGATTCGAACCTGGGTCTTCTGCAAGAACAACCAGTGTTCTTAACTGCTGAGCCATCTCTCCAGCCCTGTAGATATCACTTATATTCTTAAAATTAGCTCTTTCTGATCCAAGTTTCTGAGTTTTTTTTTTTTTTCATTTATTTTATTGTATTGTACGAGTGTTTTGCCTCCACGAATGCAAGTGCACCTGTGCATGCAATGCCCATGGAGGCCAGAAGAGGGGGAAAGATCCTTCAGAACTGGAGTTAGGATGGTGGCTAGTTGGGAACAAAACCTGGATACTCTGTAAGAGAAGCCAGTGCTCTTAACTGCTGAGCCATCTCTCCGGTCCCTGGGTTGACTCATTTTAATGGTGAATGAACTATATTATTTGACTATATTATCAATCTCAAACTATTTCAAGAATCCAATTGGATAAAAAAACAAAAATCAAATAATCTAAACAAACCCATAATTTTTACAAAAGCACCGTTTACTGAGTTCTGACTATACATCATGTTCTTAACAATCTGCAGTCATTCTATAAAGCAGAAACTTGGAATCACATATCACACAGACAAGAGGCCAAGGTAGAGACAGTAAGGAAGAACAAGGATTGACTGAAGACCCCACAAGCCCAGGATCTAATGAACAAACTCTTCCTTCCAACTCCTAATTAAATACTAACATGTAGATAATCTTACAGGCCATATATACATGTACAGCCAAACAAGGCCCACAGCTTCATTTCTACCTTACTATCCGCGTGCAGGTCTCTTTGTTTACTCTAACATCCACCACAAGGCCCGCACAGTCTATCACCCTTTCTGTAGCTCCATCCAAGCTCTCCAAGTCTGAGCTTCCCATCAAAACTGAGACCCCACCAGATGAACTTGAACCAGTGTCACGTCTACAAAGAGGAGAGTTAACAGAGGAAACATTTCCTCCATGCTTCCAAGTGAAGCCAGCCATGGTCTCAAACAGGACCTTTGACTTATCTTCACATAGATGGAACTGGTAAAAGAAAGGAGCCAGGGGCTCCTCCCAAACCCATGTGGCCCCTGAGGAACAGGATCCTCAAATGACCTTAAGAGTAAAAATAAATTGGTTAATCTGGGCCAAGTGTATGGCCTTAAACACCCAAAAGGAAAGTATAACCAAAGATTAAAGTGATCAGTATAATTCTTTAAGAGTCCATGTGTATAGCTAAAGGCTACATAACAAAAAACAATGCCAGACAGGAGATACCTTCCTTTGAGTTGTTGGCCAGGGTGGCCCAAGAGACTCCCAGACAGTAGCCCAGCACAGAACCAGGAAAATGAACAGCAGACCCCAATCTTATCTAAAGGAACGTTGACAACTGATTGCTGCTCGATGAGGAAGAGCTGATCTTCCCAAAACAAGGATCTCTAGATAGGCTGACTAGACTCAACAGACGGACTAGCACTGGGTAACAGCTGAGGGCACTGACAACACAGTGGACAGTAACAGGGATGACAGAGTACATGGGCTCTAGTGGGGTGGGGGGAGGCTATGGGAGGGTGCCATTTGGGATTCGGGTATAAAGATAAGATTGTTTAGGATGTTCTGTATGAAATACACACACACACACACACACAACCCAATAAATTTTAAAAAATTAGTTAAAAAAAAAGTGATGGTGGCTTGACTACACCTGGAAACACACACACACACACACACACACACACACACACACACACACACACTGAATACTATGCTTCAAATACATTATAGGTGATCAAGTCAAGGTATCTAGTGGGCTTTTTTTTTTTCCAATGGCAAGATGGATTCTGAATGCCGAACAAGCTACTAGAAGACTTGTAAGTCAAGAATGGCCTATGTTATTATGAGTAAATAGGGATGCAGAGAAACTGTCTTATATCATTTAGCTGAGTTATAGTGCCATCTAATCACCTTCTTCACATTAATCCCACATATTCTTACAGTAGCGCTGAGAAGCAGAAAACTGCCAAGGTGACTATGTAGCTGCCGGTGTAACAGAACAAAAGAAAGGGAAAAGCAAAGGAGACATGCAAGATGCTCGTGTAAAGTCTGCATGCTAACCACGCCCACTGCCACGAAGAGCAAAGATGGCAGAGACGTCTGAAGCAGCAGGTTCTGAAGAAGAGAAGTAATGTAGACTGATTTTGTGACAAACTTAGAGTCTAAAAGTGTATGAAAAGAAGGCTATGAACAGTAGATGAAAGAATAAAAAGAGAAGCAAAATTAGGACCTAGGTTGACAAGCAAAAAGAAACATCCCAAACCAAATGGTGACGTGTAACCATTCAAGGACTAATCAATGCATAAAGAATATTCTCCACTCGGGAGGTAGAGGCAGGTGGATCTCTGTAAGACTGAGGCCAACCTGGTCTTACTGATCTGAGTTCCAGGACAGTTGGGGTTACAGGAGACCCTGTCTCAAAAAGAACGAAAAGGGGATCTGGAGAGATGGCTCACCAGTTAAGAGCCCTGGCTGCTCTTGCAGAAGACCTGGGTTTGAATTCCAGCACCCACATGGCAGCTAACAACTATCCATAACTCCAGTTCCAGGGGATCCGACACTGCCTTCTGTCCTCATCAGGCAATGCATGACATGGGTGCACTTACATACATGCAGGCAATACACTCATACACATAAAATATCCAGAATATTCTCCATTCAAGTGCAAACAGTCTGAATGTGGCTGAGGTTGTCCTCCAAGGTCAGTGAGCTGGAAGCTCGCTTCAGTGCAGCAGCAGTGGGAGGTGGGATGACATTTAGAGGTGAGGCCTAGAGAGGCAATGGAATGCCACATGCAGAAATGATGTAGCTCTTGTGGGACCTTGGTCAGTTCTTTCAAGGTTGTTATAAAAAAACAAGTATGCCCCTTAATCTCTGGTTTCTCGCCTTGCCATGTGATAGCCCACCTCACCCTCCACCACCCTCCTGCTTCTGCTACATCTGTCATGGGAAGTCCCTCACTATGCTGCAGACTTCCAACCTCCAAGACAGTGAGCTGGATAAACCTATTAATTCTTTACAGTCCTTACTGTACTGGAAAAAGACCACTCTACAGGGGTGGGGGGGGGAGGGAGTTCGCAAGGCAAAGACAGTGAGCTGAGAAGCTGCAGTAACAGTGTGGTTTTCATCTGCCGCAATTTGGTTCTTCAGTGTCAGTTATGACAACTAGCCAGTGTTAAATATAAGCTATTTTCTTATAGAGTGATTTAATGTTTTAGCAACATGATATGGGGTTAAGAAGGGAAAAAAGGAAAACTTCACTTTTTACTGAACTGCATGTATGAACTGCTGACAATCCAACTGCACAGATGCATAACCAAGGCGAATGCACCCAGACTGGAAGCACCAAATCTTCCTCTGCTCCCTGTCTCTGCTGCACTTTCGGCACTGTGAGTGAGTTCGCTTGCTTTAATTTAAAGCAGCACTTCCCAAACTGTGTTACTGTTATTGCTTTTAGAGAGAGTCCCACTATGTAGCCCTGTCTGGCCTGGAACTCACCAAGTAGACCTGGCTGACCTCAGACTCAGAGATCCTCCTGCCTCTGCCTCCAGAGTGCTGGGATTGAAAGTATGTGTTACCATGCCTAGCTCACTTCTCAAACTTTTGATTTACAAGCTCTTTACTCATTTAGAAGTCAAGGACTCCAAAGCCCTTTGTTTATATAGGTTTTATCTATTGGTATTTATCATGTTATAAACCAAAGTGGAATTTTTAAACCACAAGAATAAACACATATTACATTAGGTATTGGAAAGAGCTCATCACTGTCAGATAATGTGCACATTATCTACTTACTACTGCTTAGTTCTAAATGGACCTTAGGTGCTGGAGAGATGGTTCAATGGTTAGGAGTACTGTCTGCTCTTGCAGAAGACCTAGGTTCAGTTCCTAGCACCCATATGGTGGCTAACAATGACTGGATCCCAAGGATCTGATGTCCCTCATGGCCTCCGCAGGAATTGCAAGACAGGGATGTAGTTATATACATGCATGCAGAACACTCATTCACATAAAAACAAATTAATTAAAAACAAATTCAAATGGACCTGGCACTGCCTGCTCTGTAGTAATGACCTCGGAAGTGATCCTCCTCCCAACAGGTGTAATGTGTATGTCAGCTCTGTGGTGGAGGGAC